GCTTCTCTATGCATGGCAAATGACGCTGCGCACAGTCTTGTGCTGTAGGCAGTCAGCTCCCTCCGGTCACGTCAGCTCATTTCCAGACAAGCTCCGATAGCTACACAGCCAACAGATCAGATGTGTGGGCCATTGCTCTGCACCCCCTACCAGTATCAGTGATTAGAAGCCTGCAAATACGTATTTACATCTGTTTAAGTATATAGGCATGTGTGCATTATGTATTACATCTGTTTTTCAAGCAGATTTTCATTAACTTACCTGATCTTGAGAGCGCACCCCACCAAACACAAGCACGGACAAAATACATCTCCTAGAGCTCTCTGGGGCAATCCATTGGCCCATTTTCAGGGGTCAGCAAACAACCCAGCAGAGAACAGTGTCTGCAATAAACAAATATGTAAAGAGAGTGACCTCTGAATCTTACTCCATAGGAAGGTGACAGTGACCTCAAGAAGGTGTTTAAATTTAAAGCAGTGAGACTGCAACTCCTTGCTGTGCTTCCTTACTGAGCTCTTTTCAAAGGTCAAAGGCATGAAGAGCTCTTCTGATAAAGTGTACCAAAATACCTTCATTCTACACTACTTAAAACAAGGTATATGAAGATGATGACGCAGTTCAGGCATGTACATTATGGCAAATTCTTAACACTTATACTCAATAATTAGTTTTCTCCTCTCATATTGACTTATTTAGAAGTAGGCAAACACTAGGAAGAGTTTAGAATGACGAGGCATATTAAGTAAATTTAAAATGTCAAAGTAAGTATGTGCAGTATCAGATCATTTCTAGAGCTCAGCTCCATTCTTTAATAATTTTTAATAATGTAGGGCCTCATTATTAAAGTATGAGAGTAACTAACACTAATAAATTTAGTAAGCATTTAATTAGAGAAAGGCAGAATGCTTGTACAGGGAGATGAATTGCTACCCCTAAGCTACCTAAGACATTACTAAAAGAAGCAACACAAGATCTGAGAAGTCAGGGAATTGTGTGCAGTGCCATAAGCACGCTACATTTCTTCTTACACTAGAGCATTGCAATACAAGACCTCTGAATCCCTGTAGATCTCCAAAATAAGGGTCCAGGTTCAATAGATAAGATCCTCTCAATTTCACCTATATATGTTTCAGATACACAGTAATTTTAAGCATCTTTACTCCTGCATAGGACCACATGCTCAGTGGATGTTTCAGAAATAGTTTCTTAAAATATAAAAAGTTTTAATCATAACACATATCTGAACCTATTATTCTCAGGAATAAACAATTTAAAATCTTGTTCTGAGTTGTTCTAAGTAAGGAGGCACACGTTTATCAAAGAGAACAGACAAGTTGGCCTTTTCTGATTGCTGTCTCCTTGTTTCTAGCCACAGCTGGCAACAAACCTGCAAAGCAAATTGGAAAGCAACCAATTTTTTTAGCAGAGAAATTGAAAAAATACAAAATTGCTTCCCTCTAGCTTTGAAATGCAAACTTTTGCGGACTTTTGAGAACTGTTTGTGACTGCCTTTAGTGCAATGCACAAATACTACTGCACTGGCTGTAAGTTAGACATAAGTGCCACCAGCCTTACAACGTTTTTATTCATACAAAAGTCATCACGCTGCAGCATTTCTAAGACTATTATGACAGCTGAGCACACTGGCATGTGGCTATACTCCTTTTCCTTGACTGCATCCTTTATTCCAGGGAGGGCAGGGAGAAAGGACCTAGAGGATGGCTTGCTCCTGCTTTCAGAGGAACGCACCACCAAAAAGCAGGTGGGAGCAAGGACTCTGTATTTATTTGATGCTGTTTGAGAACAGACGATTTAAAACACCAGAGTGTAAGTTGTAAACAAAACCGATGATCGTGTGACTCCCAAGTTCAACATAATTTGCACTGCAGGTATCTACAGTAGTATATACAACCCAGTCTGGCTGTAATTGAAGACAAAAAAAGTAAACTCTTCTGCTAGTTCCTATCACAGCGAAGTCTAAAACTCCTGATCATTACACTAACCATTGCACATGCTTCAGGTTAGCAGCCGCATGCCTAACTGTCTATATTCCAAAGGATTAGGCAATTTTATCCCCTGCTCGTGTTCACACAGTATTAGCCAAACACAGTCTAAACCAACTACTTATTGATTCACAGTTATTCTATTTGGACAGTTTGTTGCCTCCTGTTTCCATCTCTACACTCCTCTGTTTGCTGTGAGAAACTGTATTGCCTCTCTGTGTCCTCACCAGTCCTCTGATCCTCATCGCCCCAGGTGGGCAGCTTGTACAGACTCATGCTTTAATTAAATTCTCCTACTGACAGCATTTCTCTGGGAAATATGTGCACTGAAGACTTCTTGTCCCAGTGGCATACAACTAACAGACAGCTAGAACTGACTGAAACATTGATGATGTTAGAACTCTGCCAAATCGAATTTTGACATGAAACAGCAGTAATGCTGCTTGAAAATAAAAACACCGACTGACAAATGTTAAAAAGATTCAGTTCTTCTAAAATTCCTAAGATCTGTTTTGGATCAGCTCAACAAATGGACTCCTTCAAATTAGTTAGTGCCCTGACCAACTAAATTCCCTTTTATACAGTGAAACCAATATTCTTTAGAAAACACTGTTTTCATAATTAATTGGCATGAAAGTTAAGAGAGCAGTCCTGTGATCCAAAGCAGTATGAGAAACGAAGAGCCAAGCTGATGTAGACCAGTGTCCTTACCTGTATCAAAGATGGTGACAGTTGTTAAATGCTGTCAGAGAACAGTAGTCAAGTTATTCACTGACAAGATTGCATTACAAAAAGCAATCAGTTCACTACTGCCTTGATTAAGCAGTATACATAAGATGGGAAAATAAAACACTTAACTGATAGTGAAATTCTCCAAACTGTGTATTTGAGAATACATATGGCCACCGGCTCTATCTTCCCACTATTATCAGAATAAAAAACAAAGGAAAAATTAATATAAATAATGGATTTTATTCCCATTAATCTTAAAGATGCATCTTAAAAATGCTAACTAATATCATCAGATACTCCCAGATTCCATTCCAGGTCCTGGGTGTTCAGATGGAGAATACCAGCTCTGGATACTGTAGCTGGGGTAGCAGCTCTCAAATGGTGTACTTCAAACAGCAGCTGCATTGATCAAGTCATAAGCACACGTTCACTGCTTTTAAGGGTCAGAACCTAGAAATCATCAGTAAATTTCCCAGCAAAAGCAAGCTAAGATACACTGTCTAACAAGAGCGTGATCAGGGCAACTGTGTGTCTATTATAGTCCCATCAAGGAACGAGGTTTATCTGTAACACCACGCCCGTACCCTATTTCTTGAACAAAGCTGAACAACAAACTTTATTCAAGCGTGGCTATACATTTTTTTTCTTTTCTTTTTTTTTTTTTTAACTTCAGAAGCAGAGGAGGATGAATTCAAAAAGGTTTTACTTGATCTTGTATGAGTTTGTCAGTTCAATGACTAGCCTGCTTCACCGATATGAGTTCTCCTGAAAGCTGCTAAAAGCCAGGGAGGCAGAATCTATTTCCATTGACATTGAGGGAAACAGAAAATGATTCAGAGCAAAAGCCTAAACTTCAGCCCTCAAACACCCCTTGGAAAAGCCACTGTGTTCACCAGCTAAAGTTCGGCTACATGGCTGGCCCCAGACAGACACCTTGCTGAGCGACCAGAGACCATACCACTAGATAAGTCTAAGTTCTTAAGACAGGAACTTAAGAGAGTAGGGCTAAACTACAATCACCTTCCCAAGGTTACATTCAGATTTTAAATTTGGATTTCACTACATTACAGCATTTTGGACAGCCAACAAAATCAGTTTAGCTGTATAATTAATAAGAAGTGAATAAGAAGTCTGGATACTACCGCCAGTTCTTAAACTGACTTATTTAGATTTCCTAACACTAGCCTTCCTTAGTACAGTGATGCAAGGACTTCACTCATGGAATCTTAAACCTATTTTACTGAGAGGCTTTCCAAATACATTTCAACAATCTTATGACTGATATCTTGAATTACATCAACTCATACACTAGGAGGCACAATCACCCTTACAGTAATGGTAGGCTACATTAAGTCTTTTTGTTGCACAAAGTAGGCAAGACAATGTGTTACTCCGATGCTAAAATATTACTTAGCAATAGTGAAAACCAAATAAATTATTATAAGAAAGGAAGAAAAAAGGGACACACACTGCAAAACTATCTCCAGGAAAAAAAAAAAAAGAACAAAAAAACCAAAAAGTAAAATGTAAAAACAGGTAGAGGGGAAGCCACTGTCCTTACTTCTCAATTGCTCATCTTATCATCATCCAACAAGTGGTGAGTGATTAATCCACATAGGATCTATACCCCATCTAAAACTAACCATTTCGGCCCCTCATGGGTAATATTAGCTTGCGCTCTCAGAAGAGATAACAGGAGACCTGCAAATTATATTTCAATAGAATCCCATCACTTTAGTGTTTAAATAACAACACTGCACAGCAATTAAAACTTCAGAAGACTTAATGCCTCGCTGAAGCAAGCAGCTTTTGTTGCATCAAAACCATGCTTTTTTCCTTTGCTGCTTATTAGGTGGTTATTCAAGGTAAAATAAAAAAATATTTTCAGCGAACACTTAATACAGCAAAATGACTGCATTTTATGTAATAATGACCTATTTCTGTTTTGATTACAGGAGAGTATGTCATTAGTCTTAATGATCTGGATGAGCTATGGGAGGTTTCACAGATCTGGGGAGAAAATTCACCCTTTAAGGCAGCTGAAACGGCATCATTCAGGCTAGTATCTTTCTGCTTACCAGCCTCATGCCCTGCCTCCAGTCCTTCCACAATCACCAATGCTCTGAACCCACATCTCATTGCACCAAAACACACTAAAACCCAAGAATTTGGTCCCTTCACACCTTCTCCAAATCCTGGCATTGTCAGTTTCTGATGGAGAACGATGCCTCCAGAAACAGGTCCCAGTAAGAACCCATGTCCTACTTGCCATCTTTCCGTGCTTCGGTTGCGCGGTGTGTAAAACCAAACAGTTCATCAGCTGTCTGAACTTTTGGGTTAAGGTCATTCCAAATGGGCTTTTGTTTCATGTTCATGTACACGTGATGCAGAACTATCAGCACCTGAAAAGGAGGAACAGGCTGCACGTTAGCAACACAATTTTGACACAAAACAGATCTTTGACTTTCTTCCTCAACTGGGTTTCTGACTGCAAATCCCTGCACTCAGTCAACTGTTCACCTTCATTCGCTCACACCTCTGTGTTAGTTTAGTCCCACATTTCCATTAAGCCTAAGGATAAGAAAGGACACTCCCAGTCAGAAACAGCTGTACTCTGCAGTTGATTCTAATAGAGAGTGTTAAATGGGGAAGAAAAATCCTCGTAGCTGTCAACATTTAGAGGCAGAAATGGGCAAGCATTATCTGTTAGAAGTATTTGTCTAGTGTTTTGGCAATATATCCTGCTATTTCTGTCTAGAAGCCTAATTAAACCATCCTGCTTCTCTTTCCAGAACAAAGTATTACTTAGTCTATCCGTCAAATTGAATGCTCATTACTTGGTGCCACGATTAATTTTCTTTTGGGACATGCAAGCAACACATAAAACGCAGAATTTGCTTGTAACATTTGAGCTTTGCCATTACACATCACGTAACTGACTGGATGGCCTGAGCAGCGTGTTATTACACTGCAGCCTAAGGCAAAGGCAACATGAAGAATGTTTTCTGCAAGAACCATGGTAATTTCTTTACAACGTAAGACAGAAAACATGCTGCGTAGGTAGGCAGGTACCTTGCTCTTTCCAGGCCCTGCATTTCCAACAACAAACATAGTGACATGCTGCCAGAACCTCCTCCAGCTGAACAACCTATGCACGGAAAGGATACACAGCAAGCACCTTTCCTCTCCTCTTGTCCTGCTTATTAGAGACACAATTATTCACAAAAATTATCTCCCCCTCCACATTCCTATTCCCTTTAACAGGAAAAATAAAAACGAACTTACACCTTCTCTGTAGATTTGCTTCAGCCGAGCTGATGTTGCATCAAGCAACACTGTTGACCTCCCAGAAAACGGAAAGAGAATTGGCTTAAATCAATGAATACAGTTACCTCACCAAGCGAGAACAAACCCCATTCTGCTGGACAGTCATACACTCCAGTAGGATTGTGCCAACCCAGGGATATGGAGCTCTTATCTCAATTTTGCCATCACTTCAGCAGAGTGAATTCCAGGCTCAGAACAGTTGTGCAGCTATAATTCGGTAAAATAGAAAATCAGTCCACTAAAGTAATACATTTCTTCCAAAGAAATTGTTCTGTGAGCCACAGAATGAAATTAGCTTGGCTGCTTATGGATTTCTGTCTTAGTGAAGAACATTCATACTGGTTTTCTGAAGTTCAATAGGAACAAGTCCATGTTGCTCAGCGCTCATCTTCTGATTCACCCAGTTAGCAGGAATCAAAATACTCTATAGAAGGCTGATTGCAAAGTTCATAACACCCCAAGGTATAGCTTACTGTCTTTCATCCCTGTCAGGGTAATGGAACAGATCGGCTATAGCAGAAACCCCTTTATAGATCCCGAGATCAGTCACATTTAACCAGCTTGGTTATTTCAGTTTCCAATAAACCCTAATAAAGGAGAAGAGTGTGCTATCGCATACAGCAGATGTGGATGTTCCTTGAAGGAGGGTGGGAATATCCTTTCTCGGTAGTTTAAAGAAGCACTTTTTTTATTTGGCCTGTGTAATAACCAGCGTTTCTAAATTTCACCTTTTCACCCTACCTGTAATTCAAACTACAATTAGTGTTTAAATTTAGCTTATAGACAACTAATTCTGATGAGTATACACACATACATACATGGACATGCATGTTTTTAATGTGTATAGCACGCACATTCTAAACCCACGTCTTCCTATTCACATGCTTTTGCTCCCTTACTCTTCTTTTCTCTCTCTAAATAATCACCAACAACTAATTTGCTACCAAGTACAAATGCTTGGTACTGTACACAAACACGTTTGTCAGTGTAGACAGCTTTTTTGAACAGGACACACGTTTCCTCATCGGCACATTTATCGCACTGAGGTGCATTACCGCCACGACAAAACGCCTTTGAAAGACCAAGACATTGAGGACACCTTATCAATACTGGAACATACTCAAAATAACCTTCATGTCTAATACAACCCATTTGCAATTATTTTGATTGAAACTCTTAAGGGGAGTAATTAAAGGCAATGAATTCCTTTACTTTGAGAATAAAGCTCTCTTCAGGCTGCAAGTGAAGCTCCAGGGTAGATTGTTTAACCATCTGTTCAAATTGCAAGTTCCCCTTCCTTGGAACATCCAGAGCTGGAAACAGGTCACTGATCAGGCCCATGAGAACTGGGATATCATCTGTCACTATTTTAGGCAAATTGAAGTCTCTTCAGGCTAACTTAAGCACCTGGAAAACCACGGTAAACCACATACGACAACAGCATTATATCCTTCTGTTTTCCTTCAAAGGCAAAACACCAGAAACAGGTCCTACTCTTAAACGTTTTTAAGTGAAGATTTTACCTGATCCTCAGGTCTCTTCTCGTCTCCTCACTTCAGTGACCCAGCAAAACGATTTGATAGCACAAAGTGCCCAGTCACAATGGTCCTGTGAAAACATATTAGCTAGTCATGTTAACACAGAAACTAAAACCAAGGGTAGTGCTTAAGAAGAAAACAATTGCTTTACATACAGAGTAAAACGACACCTCTATTTCTTTCCTCTTTGCACTGTAGTCTTGCAGTGGTTTTAAGTCACTGTTGGAAGCCTAGTAAAGAAAAAAAAAAAAACAAAAAAACAAAAAATGAAGTGTGTGTGTCTAATTTTTACTATTCCACCATATTGTTCCCTACTTTTAAACGGCAAAATTTGCACCACCAAGTATTATTCTATTCAATGCAACCACTCCTCTATGATGAACCAAGTCAAGCAAATAATTGCTGCCAAACATCTACTAATTTGACCTGATGTTAGCAATACTCTTCTGTTTCCAAAAGAGAAGATCGGACAGACTATGAACATATTTTGCACTCAGCTCCAGCAGCAAAATTAAAGGAAAAAGAGAAGCAGATAGGTACTCAGACTAGAGGAAAAGCCTACAAACATTTGATAAGTGAAGGGCAGAGAAAAAGCCTTTATCCTCCCCTAAGCTCTGCCAGTGGGAAGGCAGGTGTCCCACACAGAAGGCACAACTTTTTCATCACACACAGGCTCTTCAGTCCCTCTTCCTCCTTTTTCCAGGGCTGTGTAACCTTCACCTCTTACCCCTCTCCTTCCAGGTAGCACAGAAGCAGAAAGAGAAGGAGTTTGAACCATTTTGGAGACGTAAGCAATGTGAACAGCAGCAGCTTGTATGACTGAAGGGAGTACCCCAACAGCCACTTTTGCAATTTGAAGAGATATGCCACGAAGTTACACCTCTCTAAATTTAAGGCTACAACCTACACTTAAAGGTGTTCTTGCAGCTCACGTAGAGATCCAGATGGTTAGTTTTGGTATAAGTGGCAGTGGGACCAGCCACCGAAAGAGCAGCTGGCTGAGTACATGGATTACCAGCTCCTCTCTACCCTCTGTGCTGCTGCAGCCAAGAGTTACGCAGCCACCATCTCTTGTTGTAGCATGTACCACACCACTCATGGTAGTCTAGTTTCCTTAGTGTGTGCACACCACTCCTTCCTCAATTTCCAAAAAAAAAAAAAAAAAAGTAAACAAAAAAATTGAAACAAAAAAAAATTAAACAACAACAACAAAAAAAATCTATCTGGGGTTGCAACTACCCTGCTGTCAGCACCCAAACTGGCTACCCATCAGGTAGGGTTTGAGAAAAACTTGCTGCAATCACACCTGTGACTTCAATATAAACATAGCCTAGTTGGTATAATCACCCAGAACAAAAGAAACAAAGAAAAAAAACAAACCAGTAGCAAACCCACAACTTAACAACATACAATTTTTAAAGTTGATGGATGTCACTATCCCCTTTCCATGATAGTGGCACTCCACAACTGTGAATCAAATGCACTAAATATATCACACAGAAGAAAAAAATAAAAAGCAATTTTCAACTTCAGAACTGTTCATCATCAGTAAGAAAAACTGCCTTTTTTTTCCTGAGGTACTAAAGATGCTGAGTTCTGCAAAGAAAATGAGTCTCCACATTTTAGAGATGGTACACCTAGGCAAAGAAACCAAATATAGAGCCAATTTGGAAAACAGGAAATTTAGGAATATACCAGGCTTCATTTAGATTTAGGGTTGTTTTTTTTTTCCCAAAACTTTTTGTTGGTTTGTTGTCTGACAGGTTGTCAAAGAGCAAGCTACACATCTTTACAGCAGCCTGCTGAGCTGATTGTCCAGCGTGACTTTAAGACATCCAGGCTATTTGCCATGGCATGACAGGGCGAGAAGTCCCTTCCTTCACAGTATACACACTGTATGCCCTGACAACCCTGTTCTGAAGCAGTTTCCACAGACTAGGATTCCAGTGCCCCCGAAGGTATATTGAGAGCCCTAAAAGCCCCAACACTGGACCAGTATTTTCAGAGCTCTCTGAACTGCTGTATATTTTCTGCAGCAGCCCAGAATTTTTGTTAAAGGGATTCGGTTTCTCCCATTAAAAGTAAAACAAGTAAGATCAAAAGTAAACAAACAAGAACATTCTAGCTTTTGCTTCAAATGTTAATATTGTTAATATCACTATTGTTAATATTGAAGTGGCAAACGATAGTATAAATGATTTTTCTGAATTCAGAAAATGACTCCAGGACAAAGTAGTCATTATCGTTGAGGAATCCTTGTTCCAGTAAAGACAACAATATCGATATCTTAAGATATACAAGGTTTAAATTCATTAGCCCTAAAAACATTGCAAGAATGTGTGAGGAAAGCTTCAGGATATTTAGAGATAATTGCAAAATTATGCAGGCATGAAAATCAAGTTGCTTTTGCTTTCATAATGGCCCCGCTTGCTAGAGTTTATGGCTTAAGGTTGAAGGGTTCTCAGAGTTCTTATTCCACTAATAAAACTGAATATTAAGAATGTCTTCTGAAAAATTATACAGTTGGAAATGAGTAAAGAGCACTCTATGGGGAATAATGATAAACCGTCCAAGTCTTATAAGATGTATATTTTTTAAGATAACTGCTCTGAACATAAATTCTTCCTAGTATAACAATCCAATTTTTTAGCAATGCTTTATTTCCATTTTTCAAACAATCCTCCACTGTATTTACTGGGGAAAGCTTAAAGAAACATTCATCCAATTAGAATACGTTATTTGTTATTCATAATAATTCCTACTTTCCTTCAAGGTTTTTCTTTTCTCCAACAAAGCTATATTTCTAATATAGATGAAACACAACAGCACAATGTAGTTCAGCCATCCCAGGCATACAATTATGTATACAATTATTTAATGCAAAATTAACACATGGTAAGTGTCCCAAGATCACAGGAAAGCCTCCTTTCTTCTAAATTCATATCTGTCAATTTAATAAGGATGGACACGTGATTTAAAGTGCCTTCAAAATAAAAGCTAAGACTATATACATAAAAATCCCCTACTACTATACAGTATCCAGCCACACTGGTATGGAGCATGTGTTACTTAACACATATCCAACCCAGAAGCCCAAAAAGATGCTCACCTGTTTAGAAAGCAGCTCCCTACAGAGCATACAAGGTAATAAACTTCCTGGCTAACAGACAAGAATCGACAAACCCTTCAGCAACCCACATGATTTCAGAGATCAGTTCAATGTCAGGGACAACCACGGCACAGGGTCTAAGGAAGGAAACAAACCCCATAATCCAAACACACAGATTATTACTTAAACATGGTAAGAGTAAGTCACTTAACTCAAATGACTGATGTGTGCAAACATTTTTAAAAACAGAGCTCGAGAGAGTCACAATTAAGAGTGTCAGTCAAAGTTAATGAGGACCTGACTTCAAAGTACAAGCAACTTAATTAGGCACTGTAGATTGTTAGTATTCAGTAACATTGCTGTACGCAAAGGAGGCAGCTGAGAAACACGGGGCTTGCGAGACAGGTACTCCAACACTTGAGGCAAGCACGTCTGCAGCAGCATCACTTGCCACCAACGAGAGGACACTGCCAGCAGCAGTCCAGGGTCTGGAAGTCAAGTGCAACACCCTGCCATTGCTAAAAACGCCATCATTTTTGAAAGGACTTTGATTTTGAGGGCTTTAATGTGGAATTATGGTTGCCTTTGGAGGTTTCACTGTTTGTTTCTTTTTTTAAATAGAAGCTTTAGTTCAAACTTTCAGAACAAAATCACAGCCATTTCAAGGACGGAAATGAGAAGAATCTACTATTTAAAAAGGTAACAGGAAGCAATAATGCAAAGGCTAAACAACTTCCTCATTAAAAATCACTACTTAAGCTACACAAAGTAAGTAGCAGAGAAGAGATCTGGAATTTTGTGTTCAGGTCAACTATAAGCCAGCAAATTCATCCCTCAGAGCACTTTTCTTACTACTGACAAACACAAAGATTGCCTTTGTTCTCTCTTAATTTAAATATGACAAAATTAAGACCAGTGGTTTAGTCCAGCAGTACATTTCTGACAGAAATCAATAACATATAGTCTAGAAAAAGAGTAAGCGCCCCTCTGTTAAACAACTTTTAAGTAAACTATTCCCTAAGAAGCATTTCTTCATAAGCCCAAACAACAGCTGCTGTATGCATTGTGGTCAATTATAAAAAATTGCACGCTCTTCTACCTACTGTAACCAATACCCTTCTTGCAACCAGAGCAACTGCTTGCACAAGAAAAAACAGGCTAGTAGTATTTAATTGATCTTCTCTCCCTTGTGAGATTTTATTAGGTGGCAAATAACGTGGAGCTAATGCTCTGCCAGTTCCCTCCCGCCTTTCCTGTGCATTGTACAGTGGCTAAGAGCGATTACAGACACCAGCTACAGGGCTGAAATCCTGAGTCCCAAATGCAGCAGTTCATACTTTAATTCCAAAAGCTTTTTATTTTATGTGACAACCAAGTAAAGGTAACACTTGAGCTCTATGTAGCAATCACATTTTGAAAATGTAAAGAAAAAAATATTACTAACCCAAAGAAAACCATAACAGAAAGCACATCAAATAAAGCAATAATTTGACTTTATTTTTCAGTAGAGATATTGTTAATTAATATTATGTCATATCTCCTACTCTTTTCTCCCCAAACGAAAAAAAGAAAAAAGGAACAAGAAAAATAAACAAACAGCAAAAATAAATCATATGCATGTTCCACCCTCTGGCAGTTCACTGAGCGATGAAATACCTGGCAGCAACAGGGAGCAACCCCTCCTGCTGTCTTGTCAACTACCACACCTAGCTGACTACAGCAGCTGTGGCCACCAAGGCAGCTGACGCCGTCCAAATGCAGAAGGGGTGGCAGCCGCACCGCACAGACACAGGTGGATGGGGTCCCCGCCACCCTGTCCTCCCTCATGCCAGGTTCTGAACTCAGAGGCTGCCCAACAATCCTGCAGCAATCCTGCTTTGCCTTGAAGAGTTCTCAGACGGCAATTAATGAGAAGGCTTGATAAAGCAACAGCTAAATTGTGAAAATTAAAAAAAAAAAAACCACCAACAATTTAAGGGTAGCAGGATGCATCTCTCAGGGTCTCCCTCCAACATTTGCCAAGACCCAGCTATAGGGTCTTATTCAGCAGCAGTCTTCACATCAGCACGTGAATTCAAATCCTAATGTCCTCCTTGTAAACAGATATTACTCACTGCTTGTTACAGATGATTGTAGTTTAGACTCAAAGAACAAGAAAGCTAATTGCTGCTGTCCGGTCCTGCCATCTGAAGCAGGATGTTTGTTGGCAAGAGGATGAGATGTACCCGAGTAAACAGCGCTTTGACTCTAGCAGACTTTTTACCTTTCTGCAGTGAAAGCATAGAGGAGTATGGTGCGAGAAATCCCATGGCTAAAGCAGAAATAATAAAATACACCAAAATCTTGATGCACTTTTAATACAGAACCAAGTAGTACCCATGTTTCAACTTGCTCATAGAAGCAACAGTGATGCTCGATTTTGGCCTAAATTTCTATCTTTTAAAAATCAAAGGGATTTACCGCTCAGAGAAGCAGATCCCAGACAGCCTGGCAATACCTTGCAGCTTGCCCCATTGAACTTCAGTATGTCGAGAAATTAAGTCACAGAATCATTTTTTTTCCCTCAAGTCTTGATTAAATCAGTGAAAAAGGTTAAGGCAAGAACAAGGGTTTCAAGCAATGACTCTTTTTTTAAGCAAGTCCTGCACCATTTAAGTCAAAGACCATTACCACACAGTTCAAAGAGCAGCTCCAACACTGTGTCAGAATAAACCGGCATCACTTTACTGCCCATCATGCCAGAGCAACCGCTTGTGGAATTAATTCATTATCAGAAACACTATTTCTATACAAACTCACCAAGTGCAGCATGCAAAATACAGTCACATCTTTTAAATTAGAATTTTTTTTCATTGAAACTTGTGTTAGTATATAAAGTATAAATATGTACTTTAAGAAAAGAGAATGGTCTGTCCTACAGTGCCCAAAAGCATATGGACTTTTTTCTGTGCTACACCTTTCACAGCCTCTCAACAATCCCATCTTCAGTATCTTACTAGGTAAGAGTACACAGGTTCATTTTCAACTGGCAGTTATGAAACATCTATGAACACTTGCATACCTACACCCATGGAAGAATGTGTTAGCTAGACATTTTTCAAACAGTCATTTTCCTAGGTTAAGTCAGCTGTGAGGATTCCTAGTTACCACAAAACATGGAATATTCTTGCACATATTTAGGTACATCCCAGGTGTTCACAGGTACCTTTAAAATTTCAAGTAGATTAAAAAAAGGCAACATATATATTTAATTTCCCTTGTCATTACAGTGCACAGGCAGGCACAACATGAATATCGAATTTTTTTTTTTTTTCCACAGGAATTCTGAAGCAAAGAGAAATCGCACTTCACTGCAAATCAAGGCTAGTAACATTAGGTGGGACATGCACTCTAAATGTAGACTTGATATACTAGTATACCATAAAAGTACACTACAGCACACTTGCCTGAACAGAGCTTTGAGCTTCTGAGGTAGTTCTGTCCGACCTGCATATCCGGGGTTCATGGTAATAAATATTCCAGCTGGTGACTTCAATGTAATGTTTTCAGCAAGGAATGAAGATCTGTTATAAGATAAGAGAACTCTTAAAGAATTTTACACTTGGATTAGATATAAGCAACTGCATCATACAAACCCAGCCATGAGGGGTCAGATGACAAAGGTGCATCTGGGCCTGGATCTCGTCCCTCCCAATGGCCAAAAGCAAATGCCCAGGAGGGTTTATTAGAGCTGAGCAAACAGAGGCATTTCCCTGGTAGGCATCAACTTTGAATAATCTCTGGCTGCTCTGGACAGCACTGAATTTGGAAGGAAAAGACCAGACTGTTAGAACAACAAAGAGTGCATATCGCTAAGTATGTCTATAGGAGGAATTATCTTTTGAAACATGTAGAATAAATGAGACTGGTAGGGATGTGGTGGGTTTGAAAAAGCCAGGAGTCAGCACTGAGCAAAGGAAGCAGAGGAGGGGGAACATGGGCCAGTGCAAACACAAGGCACATCTCAAAAGCACTGGGAACTCCTGGAACTCCTGAGACTTCTTGCAAAGTTGAATCCCGCCAAACTTCACCCATACGATGCAATGATTTCACATAGCGGGACTTGAACAGGACCAGAGTTCCAACAGCAGAGCTTTAACGGGATTCCTGTAGTGCCAGGAATTTACCAGATTTATCGCTACATTTTGAAGAGAAAGTGACTTGAAGGTGGTGTATTACACTGGTGATTTAGTGTTGCCATCTACTCCACCACTGTATTTATAAAGTGTTTCAGAAGAACTCTGGAAGAAGATTTGACTGGTTCAGTATTTATAGCCTGCAAAGGACACTAAAGCACCACTGCTGGAATGCTCACCTCCTTCTCTTGTTCCCGACTGCATCGTGGATGGTCTTTACTAGTACTTGCCACCATGGACAGGACTTCTAACGAGACGCAACCAAATTCATCAAAGCATCCCCAAGCTCCTGTCTGGATCAAACCTTTATAGGTATTCACTACAGACTAAAATCAAAAGTGCAAGATTTAACATCTTTTTCTTGAAAAGCAATGATTTCCAGTGTACTTCATATGAAAAAGAAACCAAACAGTTTCCATAATGCTTAGCAGAACATCTCACCTTGTAATCCATCTCCTCAGAACAGCTGAAGACGTATACCATCATACCAAGGGCACAGCCTAGATCTTTGATGGTCTCTGTTTTACCTGCACCAGCTGCTTCTGCAGAAGCACCGCTCGTTGTTATGTGGAGAGACTGGGTTAGAGTAATGTAACACCCGAACATAAGAAAAGTGACTTTTAGCATTGCAAGGAACATCTACAATGTCAGGAGTTTTTTTCTAAACCTTATGTTTCATAGGTGATTTATTCTGAGTCCACTTTCTCATTATCATTTAATGTCCTAAACCATAAATGTGCCTCTTTCATGTTCATGTAAAATCATGACGTGGCACTACTTGGAAAATGCTTATTTTAGGTATGAAAACCAACCACATCAACATTTTTTAGCAAGAAGGAATATCCTATCAGTGGTCACATAGGACAGGAACAGGAGGCTGTAGTTGCGGCTTCGCCTATTTCAAAGACTTGAGCCTCAGAATTGACTCCCAAAACTGAGGGTCATAAGCACTAAGCCAGCCAGGATTGCTGGGTGCATCATTCTGGATCATTGATTTTTAGAAGAAATTCCATCCTGGAGCCAAGACATTTCCAGAAAAAAGCTTCATTGTATGTGGTATGAAAAAAGTTATGGTTTGGACTTTAACATACAAAAAAAAAATTCTTTTGCAGAAAAGTCCTGATCAACCTTGGTTAAGATCTGCTCATATTCATCTTCACACTAGACACTAAATATATACATTAAGTTATGCAAGAAATCTCTCAGTTATTTTAAAAGTAATGGACATTAAAATCATACCATTACTTAAGCATGCACACCTACCTGCACACACATGCTCAAAGATACTGTGTCTTAACAACCCTATAAAATACACAAGGTATGACAGAACTCTGAAATTGTAAGAAACATGTAACTTTTTATTCACCAAAACAGATAAGCAGACACTGTTATTAGTAACAGCCATTACCCGTCAGTCAAAGGTGTAATAACTAGCCAAGGGGTATTTCCCGAGGACTTTAAGAAGTACTGAAACTGAGCATCGCAAACGTTGGCAAAACAGTGTTGCTGGGTGTCAGCCCATCTGTGGCGTAGCTGTGGCAGCCAACCAAAAGCTCCAGAACTGGTGGCCTAAAAAGCCACTGCAGAACCACCATGCCAACTGGGAGCTATTCAGATGAACAAAATGAGACCCATCACAAAGCTACAGCTGTCATCAGTAGGTCTCACACCTCATTTCTAGCCACTTATGAATAGTAACTACTACAACCAATTATACAGGATTAGACATATCAAGGCAATTGTGCTTTTATACAGACACAAGCGTAGTATAAGATCTTTTTAATAGAGCTATTACAGCAGAACACATTGACACGTATTAAGCCAAGACCTCTCCTTACAAACAATACAGTCCTTGCATGCAAGCACACATTACTTTAACCAGAATGAGTTTCATTTTACTCCTCAAGCCTTGTTTCTTCTTGTCTTAATGCTACCATAGAAACCCATTTCATTTCTGAGGCTCAGGAGGTCAGAGAGAAAATGAGAATTCTTTCCTGTTTCAATGTCCATCCAGTGAAATGTCTCATGCATTCAATGAGTAACATGTGCCGGGCACCTTAGCTCTACCTGAACAAAGTGATACATAGAACGAGAATTGTTTAAATAAACACTCAAAATTGT